TGGCTACCAGTATTAAAAAAATTCTAAAATTGCAACAGCAAAAACAGCAGAGAGGAAACAGGCAGGGACATCTAATCACCTTTCAAGAAGAGTTTGCTCCAGGCACAGTCAGCCCATTGTATGCTAATCAAGGTGGTCAGTTGAAATATTCACACCTAGCCCAACTGACAAAAGTCCTTTGTCTCACCCTGGTCATTCCACAGATATATAAACCCTTTTTCCCAGTTCCAACAGACCTCACCTCTGAGGATGCTTGCCATAGATGCAGGCGAAACGTCAGGAGAAATGCCTCTAAACATGGCCATATAGCCTGAAAAAACCCACAAGAACTTAAAAATAATTCTGCCTTCCATGGTATTTTAATCTGTAATCTTTTAATCTCCTCCTTTTTCTGGTCTTCCTTTGCAGCGGTGGAGAGGGTCCTGCAGCAGGGCTCCCACCAGCTCCCAGGGGTCGCCTTGGATGTCTGTCCTCACTACGACTTCCTGGAGCCCCCACAAGAGAAGGAGAAGGAGGAAGAGGAGGAGGAAGTGTGGGAAGTGCCCAATGGAGGAGAAGCGGAAGGGGGCATGGAGGCCTTGCCAGAGGAGGCCCTCCAGCTGACCTGGATCTCTCTCCCGGAGGAGGTCCCCCCACGCCTGCTGCAGTCCGACCTGGTCTTGCAAGAACTAACCTCTCCAGTGCCGGAGTGCTCCTTGCGCCTGGAGGGGCTCCAGCTGTGCATCTCGGGGGGAGACTCCACTACACGCTCCCGGCTGGAGGCCCACATCCGAGGGGTCTTGCGGGAGACCGTCATGGAGCTCGTGCCCCTCCCCGACTGGACAACGGCAGACTTCCTGCGACGGGAGGACGTCCAGCAGGGTTTGGCGGAGCGACTGGCAGAGCGACGGGTGGCGGCCTGCTTCCTGCCTCCGGACAAGAGCGGGGTCTCGGTCACAGTGGTGGCTCTGACGGCGTTCCAGGCGCGGCAAGCGGCTTCCCTGCTGGGCTCTTTCCTGCGGCGCTTCTCGCTCCCGCTCTTGGAGCGGCACCTGCCGGCCCTGGCCTCCTCCGCCTGGGAGCGCCTGCAAGCGGAGCTGCGGCTGTGCCTCCTGCGCCCAGCCGAGGATGGGACCCGGCTGGAGGGGGTGGCGCTGTCCGGCCTGGAGGACGAGAACGCGGAGCGGGCAGAGGCCTTCTTGCGGGAGAGTGCCCCCGACGAGACCCTGGTAGCCATGGAGCCCGGCCAGCTGCGCTTCCTGCAGCTCTATCATCGGGAGGTGCTGGCCGGGCTGACCCACCTGGCCCCACTGCCCATCGAGGGGAAGGACGTCACCGGTCTGCGGGTGAGAGACAACAATTTATTTATTTATTTATTTATTTCTGCTACTTATACCCCGCCCTTCTCACCCCCGAGGGGGGACTCAGGGCGGCTTACAAAAAGAAGGCACAATTCGATGCCCTTATCCAAATACATACATATATAAAACGATTACCATAGTTAAGCAATTAACAGATTAAAAACATCAATATATAGCACAATAGCACAACAATAAACAGTCTCATGGTCAGTGTTTCGAGTTCCATAGGTCCAATAGGTTTCGTCATTATTTGCCCATCATTATGGTCTTTCTTTTTAGCTGCCAGAGTTTCCAAAAGCCTGGTCCCACATCCAGGTTTTCAGCTTTTTCCTGAATGAGAGAAGGGAAGTCGCTGATCTGATCTCCCCGGGGAGTGAGTTCCACAGGTGGGGGGCCACTACCGAGAAGGCCCTGCTCCTCGTCCCCGCCACACTTGTGATAGAGGCGGGGTCGAGAGCAGGGCCTCCCCAGAAGATCTTAGACTCCGGGGTGGGACGTAGAGGGAGATCCGTTCGGACAGATACACTGGGCCGGAACCGTATAGGGTTTGTAGGTCAAAACCAGCACTTTGAATTGTGCTCGGAATTGGATCGGCAGCCAGTGGAGCTGACACAACAGGGGGGTGGTGTGCTCCCTGTATGTCGCTCCAGTGAGCAATCTGGCTGCCTCTCGCTGGACTAGTTGGAGTTTCCGAGCAGTCTTCAAAGGCAACCCCACGTAGAGTGCGTTGCAGTAATCCAATCGGGATGTAACAAGAGCGTGGACCACCGTGGCCAGATCCGACTTCCCAAGGTACGGGCGCAGCTGGCGCACAAGTTTTAATTGTGCAAAAGCTCTCCCGGCCACCGCCGAGACCTGGGGTTCCAGGCTCAGCGATGAGTCCAGGATCACTCCCAAGCTGCGAACCTGCGTCTTCAGGGGGAGTGTAACCCCATCCAACACAGGCTGTAACCCTATGCCCTGTTCGGCCTTACGACTGACCAGTAGGACCTCTGTCTTGTCTGGATTCAATTTCAATTTGTTAGCTCTCATCCAGTCCGACACAGCAGCCAAGCACCGGTTCAAGGTCTGGACAGCCTCCTTGGTGACAGGTGAGAAGGAGTGACAGATTTGGACATCATCTGCATAGAGATAACACCTCATTCCGAAACTCCGAATGATCTCCCCAGCGGCTTCATGTAGATGTTAAATAACATCGGGGACAGAATTGAACCCTGTGGGACTCCACACAACAACGGTTGTGGGGCCGAACAGGTGTCACCCAATAACACCTTCTGGGACCGACCCTCAAGGAAGGATCGGAGCCACCGCAGAGCAGTGCCCCCGAGCCCCATGTCCATGAGGCGTCCCAGAAGGATACCGTGATTGACGGTATCGAAAGCCGCTGAGAGGTCCAGCAGAAGGTTGCGTGGGGGGGACGGGACACCCAGGGTTGGGAGAGACCCCCACCTTGACTATTCCCCCTAATTGCAAATAGGCTTTGGAGAGAGCAGGGTTCCATAAAGTTGGTCTTTCGGTGGTGGTGGTGGGGTTGATGTAAAACGATGGGTCCTCCATTCTGGTGGTGCCTTCTGGGAGGTAGGCCTGATTCCCCTCCAGACCACTCATGTCGTGCCTTCCTTTGCAGCTGAGCGGGGGGTCCAGGGCATGCCAGGCGGGGGCCGAGCTGCTCCAAAGCCTCCTGGGGGCCATCCACTCGCAAACAGTGCTTCTGCCTCGCCTGCCTGGCATCAGCCGCTTCTTGCTGGAGGATCGGGGCCGTGCCATCGTCCAGGGCCTGGAGCCCCGCTTCCACTGCGCCGTGGGTCTGGAGCGCATCCGCTGGAGCCCCCCGGAGGGACGGGTAAGAGGCCTTTTTTCAGGGGATGGTGGCAAAGGCATTGGGGGTTTTGCAGCAGTTCAGCAGATCAGAAGCATCCAGTGCCAGCAGTAGAGCCATTGAGCTTCAGCAAATCAGGAGGCAAGCTGTCGGGGGTGATTTCCAAAACAGAAAAAACATTCAAAAGTACCCATTTTGCTCACATCTAATGCTCGCTTTTGAAGCTAAATTACCTCTCCAAAATTAAGGTGTGCAGAAGTGTCCTGTCATACGGTGACCTTTAGTGCTGAGCCAAAGACTATAGGGCAGTGTTTCTCAACCTGGGGGTCGGGACTCCTGAGGGGGTCGTGAGGGGGTGTCAAAGGGGTCACCAAAGACCATCAGAAAACACAGTATTTTCTGGTGGTCACTGGGATTCTGTGTGGGAAGTTTGACCCAATTCTATTGTTGGTCGAGTTCAGAATGCTCTTTGATTGTAGGTGAACTATAAATCCCAGCAATTACAACTCCCAAATGTCAAGGTCTATTTTCCCCAGACTCTACCAGTGTTCACATTTGAGTATTCGTGCCAAGTTTGGTCCAGATCCATCATTGCATGAATCCACAGTGCTCCTCTGGATATAGGTGAACTACAACTCCCAAACTCAAGGTCAATGCCCACAAAACCCTTCCAGTGTTTTCTGTTGGTCATGGGAGTTCTTTGTGCCAAGTTTGGTTTAAATCCATCGCTGGTGGAGTTCAGAATGCTTTTTGATTATAGGTGAACTATAAATCCCACCAACTACAACTCCCAAATTACAAAATCAATCCTTGGATGGTCCGGCAGACCATCACCAGCATTCACATTTGGGCATATTGGGTATTTGTGCTCAATTTAGTCCAGGGAATGAAAATACATCCTGCATATCGGATATTTTCATTACGATTTATAACTACTAAAATGACAGGTATCAAGTAGCAACCACACCAGCTTGGTAACATCAGCAAGCAGTTTATTGAAGAATATATGTAGGCAAAGCAGTAAAAATAGCAAAAATAGTAAAGTTCCAATATAGAAAATAGTCCATAAGCTTCAAAGGAAAACAAGATGCACGAGTACATAAAAATCTGGAACTAGGCACTTGAATTCATGAAACAAGACAGCTGGGAAATCCTATAGGCAAAACTTAAGGTTGGCAAAAACTTGATACATGAAACTCAGAGCACTTGAAAGCAAGACTGTGATAAAATAACTACATTGCCTCAACTGAGGCAACTCTCTCCCATGAATCATTATAACGCTTTCTCAGATCCCAAAACTGAAAGTAAAGCATTTCTCTTGACTTCCCCACAGAGAAAGGTTTGTGATCTCTCTTTTGCTGTGGATGAACTGATCGTCTCGGTCTCTGAAGACTTTTTCTCTGTTTACTAATTTTTTTCTTTCTGTTTAAGCTTTCATTATCTTCTCTCTCATTAACTTCTACAACATACAAATCATTTTCGGACAGTTGTTCTGAGAAAAGCTGTGAAGGGCCTCTCCCTGGAATGTGGCCTTGGGAATCTTCCTGAGACAGCTCAAGGTCCCATCTAGGGACTGTGGCACAGGTAGCTGGTAGGGCTGGGCGGTTTCGTTTCGTTAATTCGTAATTCGTTAATAATTCGTTAATTTTTTCAATTACAAAACGATAACGAACCATTCTGGAGCAATTATTTAAAAAAAACGAATTTCCAAAAACGTTTTGTAAATGCTTCATATCTCGATAATGTATTCGTTTCGTTATTGTTTTGAGGTCGTTTCGTTATTATTTCCGCATGTCTGGGCCAGTTTTATGGTTTAATTAGTGAAAAAAAATTATAATATCACACCAACAGTCAACAACAGAGGGAGAGGGAAGCTTCAGAAGGTTTTGGAGGTTTTTTAGCGTATTTCTCGGTCGCGTCCGCCATTAACGAATCGATTTGTTATTGTTTCGGAAATCGATTCGTTAATTTTTTACCATTTATGAAATTTCGTAAATATCGAACTTTTTAAAAGGAAAATTTTGTAATTATTTTAAATATCGAAACAAAAAAAAACCCCAAATACAAATCGATTTTAGAAACAAATTTTTCCGTTGTTACCCAGGCCTAGTAGCTGGGTGTCAGCTGCATTAAGATCACTACTGACCAAAAGGCCATGAGTTTGAAGCCAGTCCTGCACAAAATCTAAGACTCCAAAAGTGCACTTCTTCTTCCTCTTTCCTTGAGAAAGAAGCCCCAAAGTGACCAGACTGCTCCCTTGCAAATCTGCCACTCTCCATAGGGACACTATCTCTCTCCTTCTCATGGATCAGAGCATGGCGAGTGGACCAGACTCCTCAGGTCTGCCACACTTTGAGCATTATTAGACTGAGTCTTTTATAAGAATATTCTTCTGATATCATCCCAAAGTTGTAAATGAATGATAGAAGCCTTCCATCCTGGATCCATCTCAGTTTCCTGGCCAGATGTTGACTCTTCTTGATTGGTGTTGATCTTATGTTGACTTCCTTCTTAACATAGTAAACATTTCTGTTACCACTCTCTCAATTCCTATCAGAGTTTACTTTTTCAGTTCTTATTAGCAACTTTTAATTACAGTTCAGCAAGCAGGTAGTTAGTCATTGCAGGCCTTAAAATTATACTGGTGTCTCCAAAAGTATTAGCTCCATCCATACATCCTTCCATCTCAGTTTCCTGGCCAGATGCTGATTCTTCTTTATTGGTGTTGATCTTACGTTGGCTTCCTTCTTAACAGTTCTGTTACCACTGTCCCAATTCCTATCAGAGTTTACTTTTCAGTTCTTATTAGCAACTTTTAATTACAGTCCAGCAAGCAGGTAGTTAGTCATTGCAGGCCTTAAAATTATACTGGTGTCTCCAAAAGTATTAGCTCCATCCATACATCCTTCCATCTCAGTTTCCTGGCCAGATGCTGATTCTTCTTTATTGGTGTTGATCTTACGTTGGCTTCCTTCTTAACAGTTCTGTTACCACTGTCCCAATTCCTATCAGAGTTTACTTTTCAGTTCTTATTAGCAACTTTTAATTACAGTCCAGCAAGAAGGTAGTTAGTCATTGCAGGCCTTAATATTATACTGGTGTCTCCAAAATTATTAGTTCCATCCATACATCCTTCCATCTCAGTTTCCTGGCCAGATGTTGATTCTTCTTGATTGGTGTTGATCTTATGTTGACTGCAAGTCGCTTCTGGTGTGAGAGAATTGGCCGTCTGCAAGGACATTGCCCAGAATTGGCCGTCTGCAAGGACGTTGCCCAGGAGACGCCTGGATGATTTGATGTTTTTATCATCCTTGTGGGAGGCTTCTCTCATGTCCCCGCATGAGGAGCTGGAGCTGATAGAGGGAGCTCATCCGCCTCTCCCCGGATTCGAACCTGCGACCTGTCAGTCTTCAGTCCTGCCGGCACAGGGGTTTAACCTGCTGCGCCACCGAGGGTTTGCAGTTTCTCAAGTCACTCCTGGGACGACAAAACAAAATCTTATGTTGACTTTCCATTACCACTGTCCCAATTCCTATCAGAGTTTACTTTTCAGTTCTTATTAGCAACTTTTAATTACAGTCCAGCAAGAAGGTAGTTAGTCATTGCAGGCCTTAATATTATACTGGTGTCTCCAAAATTATTAGCTCCATCCATACATCCTTCCATCTCAGTTTCCTGGCCAGATGTTGATTCTTCTTTATTGGTGTTGATCTTATGTTGACTTTCCATTATCACTGTCCCAATTCCTATCAGAGTTTACTTTTTCAGTTCTTATTAGCAACTTTTAATTACAGTTCAGCAAGAAGGTAGTTAGTCATCACAGGCCTTAATATTATACTGGTGTCTTCAAAATTATTATTGTGTTCATCTCCCATTCATTCCCACATTGATCAAATCTGCACATTGAATTTCTTATTACACCTACCAACTCATTGCAACGGCCAGTGCAGATCAAGCCCAAGTCTGCAGAACCTTGAACTTCTGTAGTGAAGTTCAGCGTCAGAATGAATTGTCTGAGTGTATATAATCATTCCAATAATAATTAACCACTTTGTTTTACTTAGATGTCTTATCTCCCCGGTGCGTGAAAATTAAACAATTCTTTCACCATTTAATTGTCTGAGTGAAGAGAGGATAACGGAGCCAAGTCGTCGTGGAGAGAAGCCAAGCGAATGGATGGCGGCCAAACGTACTAATTGGAGTTGGGGCATTCTCTTGCTCTCCAAGGCCGCCCCTTCCCAATTAAAGATAATTCACCAAAAAAAAAAATCCTTTGAAGAAGCTTTAATCCTTAAGGTCTTTTAGGGGAACATGCAGAGCAGTGGCAACACCCCAGACCTCTCCCTGTCGGAGTTCAGCCTGTGATTGTGTTTCAAGATCAAGGTGCTTTGGATGTGGGAAATGATGTCAATGAGGGTCAAGATGGCAATGGTCTGGTCAATGATATTAATGCAGAGAATGACATAGAGACAGCGGTTCAAAGTGTAGTTTCTCATGAGAATGTTCCTACAGGGTATAGGGATGAGAGTTAACTCCCTGAATTGCTCCCAGAGAGTTCCCAGGATTTGGGGCTTGAAAACAACTTGGCACCTGGGGAAACGAATGAGCATATAGATAGGCGGGCGGAAATTAGTCAAAACAGAAAGCTCAGCCAAGGCCTTCGGCGTTCTGCCAGGCTTTGACAGATAAGGATGAGAGGCACTCAGGGAAAACGAAACCAATTTCTGAGTCTTAACGAGGGGGTATAAAGTTTCAACGATTGTAAATATAGACAGAGGAAGCATCATTTCAGATTCCTGCTACGTTCTTGCTCTTGTATCATGAGAGCCTTGCTTGGAAGATTCATGTTTAAGGATTTCTTCCTGTATGGTTTGACTCTTAGTCTCTTGTGACTACATACTCATGCCTTGGATCAACGTTTCCCTGTTTCTTTGGATTTTATTAGAGAAGTCTGGGCTTTGTTTTTGAACTTTGCTGAACCCTACCTTGGACTCATTTGTTCCTGCTTATCTTCTTTCCTAATTGGATTTACCTATTCCCTTAAAGCGGTTTTTCTACTCTGCTGTTTTTACTTATCTTCAATAAAAAAGGATTGTTTTCCTACTCATCATACGGTGTTTTAAAGTCAGAGGGTTATTCTTGTTCTGGAGTGCATCACTCCCTTCAATAGATAGACAGCAGTCTCCCTTTGGCAATGTTTCTTCTCATTCTCAAGGGGGGAGCTGGTGTCGGACCGACTGTTGAGAGGTTGGAAAGGCAGGGAAGATGGCCACTCCTCTGGCATGGCACATTGACCCCTCCCCCATCTCTTTGCCCCCAGCATGAACTAGAGATGTCTCAGGAGCCACTGGCCTTGGATTGCGAGCGGGATTCACCCCACGGATTGCAGTGTTTGGGGGTCCAAGGCGTCACACAGCGGAACCAGAGCGGAGCCAGCCTGGGTAACGTTACTTACTTACGTACTTACTTAGGCAATCCCTCGTAACCTGAGGATGATGGTCCTCCAAGTGGAGTGTCTTGGCGGCAGGTCCGTAGGTGGCTGTGGAGTCCTATTCTTGACCCGCATATTCTCCCACAGTGAGGGCATCAGTTTCCAGGTGGAAGGTGGTCCTTCCTCTTGCCACGTTTCTCCCTTTCAGCCTCTATTTGTGCCTCTTCTAATTCTGCAGCACTGCTGGTCACAGCTGACCTCCAGTTAGAACGTTCAAGGGCCAGGGGTCCTCTGGGTAGCCATTGTGGCAACATGTGCTCAAGTGGCCAAAGCGACGGAGGGGGGGGGAGGGGTAGCAGTTCCCTTATCAACTGTGTTCTGAGCCCTTTGAGATCCTAGGGGGGATAGGGGGCTGTCAGTCATAGAATCCTAGAATCCTAGAGTTGGAAGAGACCTCCTGGGCCATCCAGTCCAACCCCATTCTGCCAAGAAGCAGAAATTGCATTCAAACACCCCTGACAGTTGGCCATCCAGCCTCTGTTTAAGAGCCTCCAAAGAAGGAGCCTCCACCACACTCCAGGGCAGAGAGTTCCACTGCTGAACGGCTCTCACAGTCAGGAAGTTCTTCCTCATGTTCAGATGGAATCTCCTCTCTTGTAGTTTGAAGCCATTCCTCCATTGCGTCCTAGTCTCCAGGGAAGCAGAAAACAAGCTTGCTCCCTCCTCCTCCCTGTGGCTTCCTCTCACATATTTATACATGGCTATCATCTCCTCTCAGCCTTCTCTTCTTCAGGCTAAACATGCCCAGCTCCTTAAGCCGCTCCTCATAGGGCTTGTTCTCCAGACCTTTTATCATTTTAGTCGCCCCCCTCTGGACACATTCCAGCTTAGAGTCAATATCTCTCTTGAATTGTGGTGCCCAGAATTGGACACAATATTCCAGATGTGGTCTAACCAAAGCGGAATAGAGCATGGGTAGCATGACTTCCCTAGATCTAGACACTATGCTCCTCTTGATGCAGGCCAAAATCCCATTGGCTTTTTTTGCCGCCACATCACAGTCAGGAGGGTTTGGATTGTGCCTTTCCTCTGGGCAGAGCCAGGATGGACTGGATGGCCTTTGAGGGTCCCTTCCAACTCTAGATTGCCTGGGAGTCTTATAGAGACTCCATCTCTAGTGGTTTTGAAGCAGAGGCTGGATGGCCATCTCTTGGGAGGGCTTAGATTGTGGCAAAAAGAAGAGGTTCAACCAGAGGGCTTTTGGGGGTCCCTTCTAGTGTTTAGCCCAGTGGAATTTCCTTCTTTGGTGATTTTGAAGCAGAGGTTGGGTGGGATTGGGTTGTGCCCCCCTCCCTGGACTCGGTGGCCTTTAGAGGCCTCTTCCGGCTGTAGGATCCCATGAGTCTTGGGGCTTGGGGAACTGGGCATGTTTAGCCTGAAGAAGAGAAGGCTGAGAGGAGATATGATAGCCGTGTATAAATATGTGAGAGGAAGCCACAGGGAGGAGGAGGGAGCAAGCTTGTTTTCTGCTTCCCTGGAGACTAGGACGCAATGGAACAATGGCTTCAAACTACAAGAGAGGAGATTCCACCTGAACATGAGGAAGAACTTCCTGACTGTGAGAGCCGTTCAGTAGTGGAACTCTCTGCCCCGGAGGGAGTGTGGTGGAGACTTTGAAACAGAGGCTGGCTGGCCATCTGTCAGGAGTGATTTGAATGCAATATTCCTGCTTCTTGGCAGAAGGGGGTTGGACTGGATGGCCCAGGAGGTCTCTTCCAACTCTTTGATTCTAGGATTCTATGAGTCTAAGCTTTGCCTTTCCCCGGGCAGAGGTCCCTTAGTGCCCTGCTTCCAGCCCAAGCCTCACCACGTCTTCTGCCTCGATTGCAGTGGAGATCAAGGGGCTCCTGGCCGCCCTGCAGCCCCCCAGCGCCGCCCCTTCCCTTCCGGCAGAGGAGGAGGAGGACCTCTACACCGCGATGGAGCAGGTCCCGGCGGACGCGCCCCAGAAGGAGGAAGTGACGGGGGAGGAAGAGGTGCAGGTGGGGCCCTTGGACTTGGAGGCGATGGAGGAGGGGCCCTTGCCCTTGGAGGAGCTGGCCAGGGTCAAGCGGGCGACAGAGGACGAGGAGGAGGCGCAGCTGCTGCTGGCCATCCAGGAGTCCATGGACAGCGCCAGGCAGGAGGAGGAGGAGATCCGCCGCGCCACCGAGCTCTCCTTGCTCTCCTGGGAGCGGGAGCGGCGGCCGGACTCCGAGGAGGAGGAGGCGGCCCTCCTGTCCGCCGTCAACGACTCCCTGGAGGCCAACGACGAGGCCACCTTGGTGGTCTGGGCGGAGTCTGCGGGGGCCGCGGAGGGGCTGCGGGAAGCGCTGGAGGTGGCCCTCCTTGCCCAGGTGCGGGAGGAGGAGGTCTCCCACGAGGCCCTGCGCCGCCTGCCCCCGCTCTGCCGGGACTACCTGACCCACCTGGAGCGCAAGCACGGCGTCCGCATCGCCCTGGATGGAGACAAGGCCAACCTGCGGGGCTTCGCTGACCACCCGGTGGCCGCCACCCGCGACTTGGCGCTGCTGCTGGCCCGCTTCCTGCCGGCCGAGACCCCAGTGGGAGGGGCCCAGTGGGTGCGGTGGGAGGCCTCTGGGCAGGGGTCCCCCATGCCCTACTCCGCCCAGGCCAGCGCCATCCTGGAAAGGGCCTGGCAGCGAGGGCTCCGGAGGGTGGACCTCTTCTTCGGGGGACGGCCCTTCGCCTTCGACTTCCACCGCATGGAGGAGTACGACGTCAGCAATGCCCGGACCCTGCCCATTGGACGCATGGAGGCTCCCGCTGACCCAGGTAGGCCCCCCCCCCGACACACATACCCCACCCTGGAAGAAGCCAAGGGGGCGTCCAGGTGACCTCTTGCAAGGGCCACTGGATCTCCTCTCTTTGTGCTCTTACTGGAGAGGCATTGGCTCTGACCAGGGTTCTATGCAGCTGGGCTTCTGCTGCCAGGCTGATGGGCTTTGGAGTCCTTGCCAGTCTCATGGCCAAATCCTCATAGTTCGTTTGAGTTATCAACAGTGCCAGAAGATCAGGCAAGCTGCCCAGAGGGCCATTGGATCTCCTCTCTTTGGACTCAGTGTCTGGGGAGACGTTGGCTCTGTTTCTGGAGTTCTGTTCAGTTGGGCTTCTGCTGCCAGTCTGATGGGCTTTGGAGTCCTTGCCAGTCTTATGGCCAAATCCTCATAGTTCATTTGAGTTATCAACAGTGCCAGAAGATCAGGCAAACTGCCCAGAGGGCCATTGGATCTCCTCTCTTTGGACTCAGTGTCTGGGGAGACGTTGGCTCTGTTTCTGGAGTTCTGTTCAGTTGGGCTTCTGCTGCCAGTCTGATGGGCTTTGGAGTCCTTGCCAGTCTTATGGCCAAATCCTCATAGTTCATTTGAGTTATCAACAGTGCCAGAAGATCAGGCAAGCTGCCCAGAGGGCCATTGGATCTCCTCTCTTTGGACTCAGTGTCTGGGGAGACGTTGGCTCTATTTCTGAGGTTCTGGTCAGTTGGGTTTATGTTGCCAGGCTGATGGGCTTTGGAGTCCTTGCCAGCCTCATGGCCAAATCCTCATAGTTCGTTTGAGTTATCAACAGTGCCAGAAGATCAGGCAAACTGCCCAGAGGGCCATTGGATCTCCTCTCTTTGGACTCAGTGTCTGGGGAGACGTTGGCTCTATTTCTGAGGTTCTGGTCAGTTGGGTTTATGTTGCCAGGCTGATGGGCTTTGGAGTCCTTGCCAGTCTTCATGGCCAAATCCTCATAGTTCATTTGAGTTATCAACAGTGCCAGAAGATCAGGCAAACTGCCCAGAGGGCCATTGGATCTCCTCTCTTTGGACTCAGTGTCTGGGGAGACGTTGGCTCTATTTCTGAGGTTCTGGTCAGTTGGGTTTATGTTGCCAGGCTGATGGGCTTTGGAGTCCTTGCCAGCCTCATGGCCAAATCCTCATAGTTCATTTGAGTTATCAACAGTGCCAGAAGATCAGGCAAGCTGCCCAGAGGGCCATTGGATCTCCTCTCTTTGGACTCAGTGTCTGGGGAGACGTTGGCTCTATTTCTGAGGTTCTGGTCAGTTGGGTTTATGTTGCCAGGCTGATGGGCTTTGGAGTCCTTGCCAGCCTCATGGCCAAATCCTCATAGTTCGTTTGAGTTATCAACAGTGCCAGAAGATCAGGCAAGCTGCCCAGAGGGCCATTGGATCTCCTCTCTTTGGACTCAGTGTCTGGGGAGACGTTGGCTCTATTTCTGAGGTTCTGGTCAGTTGGGTTTATGTTGCCAGGCTGATGGGCTTTGGAGTCCTTGCCAGCCTCATGGCCAAATCCTCATAGTTCGTTTGAGTTATCAACAGTGCCAGAAGATCAGGCAAACTGCCCAGAGGGCCATTGGATCTCCTCTCTTTGGACTCAGTGTCTGGGGAGACGTTGGCTCTATTTCTGAGGTTCTGGTCAGTTGGGTTTATGTTGCCAGGCTGATGGGCTTTGGAGTCCTTGCCAGCCTCATGGCCAAATCCTCATAGTTCATTTGAGTTATCAACAGTGCCAGAAGATCAGGCAAACTGCCCAGAGGGCCATTGGATCTCCTCTCTTTGGACTCAGTGTCTGGGGAGACGTTGGCTCTATTTCTGAGCTTCTGTTCAGTTGGGCTTCTGTTGCCAGGCTGATGGGCTTTGGAGTCCTTGCCTGCCTCATGGCCAATTTCTAACTCTTCTTCCTCCTCCTTCACCTCCTCCTCTTCTTCTTCTTCTATTATTATTATTATTGACACAAAAACACAATATGTCACAGCAAACGAGATCTATATGCTGGATTTCATATCACAAAATCACAACTTGAACACTTTCCAAGCGTCTAGGACTGTGTGATGTATTATTATTATTGTCGAAGGCTTTCATGGCTGGAATCACTAGGTTCTTGTGGGTTTTTTCGGGCTATAGGGCCATGTTCTAGAGGCATTTCTCCTACCTCTGAGGATCATACATCATTCAGACCTCACTACCTCTGAGGATGCTTGCCATAGATGCAGGCGAAACGTCAGGAGAAATGCCTCTAGAACATGGCCCTATAGCCCAAAAAAACCCACAAGAACCTATTATTTATTATTATTATTATTATTATTATTTGAAACACAACAAGATGAGTCACTCTGCTGGCTGTTGTATTATTATTATTATTATTATCATCATCATCATCTCCTTCACAATCTTCTATTATTATTATTATTATTATTATTATTATTATTATTTATTTGATACACAACAAGATGAGTCCAAAGCAAACAAGGTTACTCTGCTGTTTTTTGTATTTGATCCCATGTTGGACCCTTCCCAAGTGCCTAGGACTGTGTGATGTATCGACAAATAATGTGTGCATATCCCAGTAGCTTTTGCAGCTGACGGCTGGGGATTTTATCAACACTGATTGTTTTTAAGTGCAGGCTAAGGTCTTGAGGCACTGCGCCCAGTGTGCTGATGCCCACTGGGACCCCCTAGACTTGGCTTGTGCAGTTCGGTCTTTAAATCCTCACATCGTGTCAGCTTTTCCAGTTATTGTTGTTGTTATTTGATCCACAACAAGATTAGTACTCAGCAAACAAACTCACTATGCTGGTTATTGTATTGGATCACACATCGGACATTTCCCAATTATTGTTGTTGTTCATTCAAACCTCGCTTTATCCCTCCCAAAAGAGACTCAAAGCAACTTACATTAAAAGTATGACCACATAATTTGAAATATTTATTTATTTACTTATTTACGCCATTTATATGCCACCCTTCTCACCCCGAAGGGGACTCAGAGCGGCTTACAAGACACATATACATACAATATATTATATTATTAGCATAGTACAATATCAGTATTAAGTATTACTATATTGTACTATACCATTATATTGTAATATTACTTGTAATATTACATGTAGTATAAATATATAATTATTTATTATTTGGCGTGTCAGGGCAACCAGTCAATTATATTACATTTCTAACAGAACAAAGCAAACAAACAGACAAAATACAACATTTGTGAGTTTGGTAGTTGGTCAAATGTCCTTTGACCAGTATCTAGCCCCTTGGAGTGCCTCTGGTGTTGCTGCAATTATAACTATATATAATATATAATAATATATTTCTCTCCCTCACTCCCTTCCCTTCTTTCCTCCCTCTCCTTCCTTCCTCCCTTTCTTTCCTTTCTTTCTTTCCCTCCTTTCCTTCCTTCTTCCTTTCCTTCTTTTCCTTCCTCCCTTCCTTTCTTCCTTCTTTCCCTTTATTTCCTTCCCCTTCATTTCCTTCCCTCCCTCCTTTCTTCATCCCTTTCTTCCTTTCCCTCCTTCCTTCCTTCTTCCTTCATTCTCCTTCCTTCTTTCCTTCCTGTCCCTCCTTCTTTCTTTTCCTTCCTTCTTTCCCTCTTTCCCTCCCTTCTTCCTTTCCTTCTTTCTATGTAAGATATAAATACAATATTAAATGGGACAGCCAAGAAGTAACGAGAGAAGAAGGGTAAGAGGGAAGGAAGGAGAGAAAGAAAGAAAGAAAGAAAGAAAG